ATAATAATAATAATAATAATAATAATAATAATAATAATAATGAGAAAAAAAGTCCCCGATTTTCTATATGCACAAATAGGTTATAACTGTTTACCAATAACAATAATTGGTTCGAAAAAGAAACTTTTCCTGTCTGAATTCTACTTTCTAAAATTGTGAGACTAGCACGTATCTAGATTCTTCTGAGCGAAAAATTGATATTTTGTTAGACTCTTTTGCGATGTGCGCACGCATAAGAGCCGCCGTATAACCTGGAAATCGATTTTTTTTCCGCGAAAAATATGCTTGAAAAAAGTAAATATTCTTTATTAACTTTCCAACTTTTAATTATGAGGAAGCAGAACGCTTTGAACTTCATTAAACACCCCAAATTTTCGCACGGAAGTTTTTTCCCAGATATCCGTAAGAGTACATAAAAACGAAACTTTTGACAATAAACGGTTTGAAACAAATATCATTGAGTTATATAGTCATAGAACTGAAGCGGCAAGTGTACACTTTTCCGAGTTGGCATTGTCGGGCTGTTTTTGGGGACAAAATAGACGCCATTTTTCGAGAAATATATTCCATAAAAACTGCCTCAAAATGCACTGCAACGCCAACTCGGCCCAGTTTTTCCTCCACCTCGTTACGGCTAATAGTTTGAACACAAGCCACACTACTGCATTCTTTGTAAAATTTCGAATCTTCGAAACAATATATTTCGTTTTCCAGTATATCACAAAACGTTCAAACTTGACTCTAGTACTAATCTGTTCACGTCCTACCACGTGACCTACAAGTCCTGTAAAGCCGCGGGGCTATTCTTTACGTTACAGTTTTTGATTTCTTTTAATGCTTTCCACTTTGTACTTATCAATCAAATTAAAATTAAATAAAGAGATTTCTAGCCCCTGCGTGGTTACGGCTGATCTTTTCTCCCGTCTTCAGTGGTATTAAAGGTTTTTTATTCAAATACATTTTTACGAGTCACTATAATTTTTAAATAGCAAAAAAAAAAAAAAAAAAAAAAAAAAAAAAANTAGAGTGCATACCATATATCCTTGAAAAAATTAACTAACAAAATGGTACAAATTAGTGCAAAGTTTTGTAGGTCTACGGTCTACTGAAAAAAAAACCACAATAGAGTGCATACCATATATCCTTGAAAAAATTAACTAACAAAATTGTACAAATTAGTGCAAAGTTTTGTAGGTCTACGGTCTACTGAGGTCTACTGAACTTAGAATTAATAGAAATCTTAGAGTGCATACCATATATCAGTGAAAAAAATAACTAACGAAATTGTACAAATTAGTACAAAGTTTTGTAGGTCTACGGTCTACTGGACTTACTATTAGATTTGCGCAAATTTGTGCAATTACTTACCCATTTTTTCACTCATATATGGTATGCACTCCAGAGAGGTCGTTACAAAAATCAAGATGATTGTACAAACATCGATTGTTGAGTTGTGAACGGCCCTTTGTGCCACAAGAGTTTAACTTTTTTGATTAAGCTTTGGACTGGAACTTCTAGACTGAATATTATGAGGCAATATCTGATTCACCTTGGACATCTGGCGCGACGAGGAGCAACAATTCAAAACTTGTCAAAAGTGACGTTAATCTGAGTGCTTCTGTTCCTATTCACATTCTTTATGGCATGGCTGAATAATCCATCATAATCCTAGGTAAATTTTAAAAATAACCTCTATCGGAAGTTATACAAATATACATCCCTAAAATATATGACCGATAATAATCTAATTTTAAAATGCTACACAAATAATCTGCAATCCTTATTCCTTCTCGAAAACCCCCTTAATATTCCAGCAATAATCCTAAATCCCTAACAGGGCCTCATAGTTGTGTCGGCGTTCTTCTGGGCGTTTTATCTATAAAAAAAAACAATCTTGCGCACGTGATCATTATTGTCAAATGCAGGCCGCTCGAACAATATTCTCTAATACCTTTCGAAAACAAATCCGTGTATACTATTTGTATATTTCTGTTCGCAGATATGAAAAGTCTAGGTAGCTGCGAAAAAAAATTGTAGTATAGATGGCCTTGCACAGTGTGAGGAAAAGTACAACTTATAAAATATTTCAGATTTAAAAAATTTTTGACCATCGCACTAAAATAAATTGACTGAAGGATTAAGGCTCGCGGAATTTTCAATACCCGTTTGAGGTGAAGCAAGCTATCTTACCTTGGTTTTTATTACGAGTTCTACGGAGCTAAGCTTTCTGCAGTCGACGCTAGCTAACTGCAAATAATTGGCTTCAATTATCAGGCTAGCATTTGATTTGAAGCACGTTCGCCGCTTGACCTTTGTTCAACAAACACATCCTCAGAGAGCATGACGGAGTAAAAATATTTTGCAACAAAATAACGTGCTTTTGTTCAGAATACGCATGTGTGTGAATAATAAAAAAGTCTTTAAAAAAGTCTAACAAGTCAAATCTCCACCGAGACAATTTAATTTTTTAAATATGAATTAATACTACTTTTGCCTTAACCAAAGCTAAATCCCAAGTGCATTTAATAAAACTTTTTTTGAATAATAAAAAGTACTTGAAATGGCAGACAAGCAAAATAAACAAAATATTCCAGTCCTGGTGTCAGATAGCAAGACAAAACAGGAACTGATTTAACTGGCAAGGTCAACTCTAAATGCAAATATCTTCTGTTGCTTAACAAATCTTGTGTGTACTCTAATGTGTTTGTCTTTGTGAAAGAACAGCTCGACAGACGGTCGGAGGAAAAGGGTAAATCTTAAGAAGGAAGTGCCAAGAAGGCCCTTAAGGGATTCTGCGGAACTGGGGAAGAGGGAAAGGGTAAATTTTAAGAAGGAAGTGCCAAGAAGGCCCTTAAGGGTCACTGCGTAACTGGGGAAGAGGGAAAGGGTAAATTTTAAGAAGGAAGTGCCAAGAAGGCCCTTAAGGGATTCTGCGGAACTTGGGAGGAGGGAAAAGGTAAATTTTAAGAAGGAAGTGCTAAGAAGGCCCTTAAGTGATTCTGCGGAACTGGGGAAGAGGGAAAGGGTAAATTTTAAGAAGAAAGTGCCAAGAAGGCCCTTAAGGGATCCTGCGGAACTGGGGAAGAGGGAAAGGGTAAATTTCAAAAATGCATACGACCATTTAAACAAGTTTTGTGGAAAGTATTTTTTGGCTTGACTTCGTTATCACTTATGTCTCTGATATAATAAAAGAAAAATAAGTTATACTTTTGAAGTTTTGCATTTCATTTGATATTTGTATAAATGTATACCACAACCTTATATGACAAGTATATATCATATATGTTATAAGCCTTATGCATAGGTAATAAAAGAAAATGAAAGGATTAGTCATTGTAATGGTCCTGTTGCACGGGGCAAATTTTCTTGCAACTTCAATGCAACGCTATACACCTAAGTCCAAAATGGCGCACAGCCGAGTGAAAATGAGGCATCGACCAAATTAACAAATTTAAARTACTTTCTCATTTGAAGACGCAATATTGTTGTGTTTCTGAATGTAAGGAGGAAAGAAAGACAAAACAAGACAGAGTATACTTTGAATTGACACCATATTTTTTCTTTGCATATTTTTCTGGATGCCTCGTTTTCAAGTAATTCGCTCGGCCGTGCACCATTTTGAACTTAGCTGTATTGCATTGCAAGTTAAAGATAAGATTGCACGTAACATCCCCTTTCTGCAACTTGCAATGCAAACGTTTCAAGTTGCAGAAAAGTTGAACGAGCTTCCGACTTTTCGCAACGTCGCGAAGCAAGTTGCAGTACGTAATATCTATCCCGTAACCATCAGTGCAATCATTGCAATCACTGTCGCAAATGACCACTCTAAGCCACAGGCAGCCCAAACAAGGTTCCTGTGTATGGTTTATAAGGGAATGTATGGGAGTTATGATAAAGTTACGAAAATAAAATGTTTCACTCAACAATTTGCCTCAAATCTTGTTCAGTCTTCTGGCGAAGTTTCAGCGCGATTTGAGGCCGTTTAGTGGGTTTTTTTCAAAATCCGTTCTTCTCTACCTAAATCCTTAAATCGCGCTGAAACTTTGCCAGAAGACTGAACAAGATTTGAGGCAAATTGTTGAGTGAAACATTTTATTTTCGTAACTTTATCGTAACTCCCATACATTCCCTTATAAACCATACACAGGAACCTTGTTTGGAGTGCCTGTGTCTGAGCGCAGCTCTTCAATGATATCCTCGCTACTTATTCGCAGACCAAGTAAGCGTTGTGTTGCGTTGCAGGTTGCAAAGACATTCGTGGAGGTCTGACATCAGTCTCATCTAAAGCTTGCATAAAGCTCTGCTTTTGTCACACGGCATTGGCATTGCATTGCAAGTTGCAAGAAAAATTGCCTCGCGTAATTAACAGGCCCTTAATATTTTATATATGTATATTTATATAGCACGCAAATTCCATATGGCAGGTTCAATCAACGAGTAGCAGTCCAATCACAATCGAGAATTTTCGATGTTCCTATTATTACCAGAAAAATTGTTTATGTCAGCTCTCAAGCCGGCCGCCATGYTTGTTGCGTGACTGTGTTGGGTTTCAAGGTCATTAGCAGTGTCGGAAATGTAAATGTCGTATGAGCTACTAGTTGTTTCTAGATCAAAATAACAGCTTTTTCGAGAAGGAAGTCTTTGATTAGTCGTGAATTTTTCATAGGAATACCAGTCTAGTTATTGTTAATGTTCGTTAGGTTGAACCCACRCCGAGCTGTCAAACCACCGCGATGATCTACGACTGCGGGATATTTACAGTTACGTACTTTTTCTCCCAGAGACTTCGAATGCATGAAAGATCGATCGTAATTGGCCTCTCTCGCACACCTATTCCATTTAATGAATCTTTAGAGGTCTAATAATCACTGGTTAAAGTTTTCTCTTGCTTATATTCCAATGGGAAGTTGTTGTGTTTTTTTTTTTGCTAATTTCTGTGACGTCATACACTCAACACTAAACATCGTTCCATACATTTCTATGYAAATAACTTCATGTTTTACTTTATTTCTATTAATCCCAAAGGTCCGCTGAGGGACTTAACGTACATAACTTGTGTTTAGAATCATTTTATGGTGTCTTTTCTTCAATAGGTTG